AGCTCCAAGAACAGCTGAAAACCAGACAAGAGCTATACAGTACCTCATTCTGATGAACTGTATCAATTGGGTGTTTTCAGATTACTTTTGTCTGTGCAAATGACACACAATGTGTCTCGTTTTTTTTTCTTGTTATGTCTTGCATTTCGTACGAAAAATTCTTGTCCCCCAAAAGTTGGAAATCAATCTTTGGGAGCATGTTTTGGTCAGCATTCCTTGTAAATATGGGAAAAAATCACTTCATTTTGCTGCATGAGTGGTAATTTCAGGGCCTGCGGTAGTATATGGTGCGAGGACATGCCTGTGGGTATTTCCCTTACTGCTGGCACCTTTCCTCTTTCCCCAATTCTTCCTTATTTTTCATTGTAAGGTTTATTTATTTATTTATTTGGCTTTTATCCCGCCCATTTAGATTCAAACTAATCTACTCTGGGCGGCTTACAGTCTGTGCAATATAACCCTAACCCAATATAAAACAAGGGTTAAAACAGGCAATATTTCCAGATGGAGGCAAGGCAATGAGTGTGATGGGTATAGGTAGGTAGGTAGGTAGGTAGGTAGGTAGGTAGGTAGGTAGGTAGGTAGGTAGGTAGGTAGGTAGGTAGGTAGGTAAAAAGCTGAAAATCTGAAATATGCATCAGTGGTAACTAAGTTGCTAAGAGATGCAAAAAGATCAGGGCGGGATGCCTGAAAACTAGAAGGCCAATGAAGCATTTTGCCTGATTACCCATATAAATGGATGTGGACACCACACAAACCATGTCTGGTTTCCCCCTCTGACTGCAAAGGACTAACTGCATATGCAGGGCAACATCAACACCTGGCACCCTTGGGCAGGGTCAGGGCCTAGCCCCTGCAGGTTCCACTGTAACGTTTTTCCAGGCCAGCTTCTAGAACATTTCTCAGTGCCCTCCAGGAAACAGGAAGTACCTGGATCTATTTAATTTCCCACAATGCCCTTGACCTCCTGTTACTTTGGGACCATTCGAGGGTGGTTAGTCTCCCCTGCCCTGTGTTGTCGTCCAAGCCACCATGGTCAGGGAAGCCTGCCATAGCCCACTGACAGAGGCATGGGCTGTGACATTATTTGCCTTAAAGTCTCCCCATCTGCATTTATTCTTTTTCAAAATTCCTTATAGTTCATATGATGTGGTTGCTAACATAAATATAACCTTACTGGTTTAGGTACCAGGCCACACTCTCATTCAACTAAGCTTGTTCAAGACCTCCCTCTGGTGGACAAGCATCAAAATGATATTTGATTTGCTTACTGTACAGTACCTCACCTCTTCCTTAGAAGTTATATCAAGACTAGACCTTTCAAAAGCAGCAACAATATCCAAATATTGAAAGATTTCATTCTAGAAATCACATTTTTCAGATCTTGAGTCTGTAAGACCTGATTGGGGCTGCTAAAGACCGCTGGAGACCACCCATTCGTAGATCACCACTTCGCTAGATGATTACCCCGCAAAACGACGAATCAGCAGGACGATGACTTTTTGCGATCGCTATAGCGATTCGCAAAATGGTTTTTCCTATGGGGGATTTCGCTGGACGATTATTTGGTCCATGCTTCGCAGACCGTTTTTTGCAAGACGACGATTTTTACAGCTGATCGGCGCTTCCGTTTTCCGCAAGACAGTGATTTTACAGCTGATCGGCGCTTCGCAAAATGGTTTCCGTATGGGTGATTTTCGCTGGACAACAACGATTTTTCCCCATTGAAACACATTAAATGGATTTCAATGCATTCCAATGGGGAAACGCTTTTCGCAAGACGATGTTTTCACAAGACAGTGATTTCAATGGAATGGATTAACATCGTCTTGCGGGGCACCACTGTACATAGTAGCAACCACCACCACTTAAAAGTTAAACCGAATTTTAATGAGCTGAGGGAGGTGCCCTATGAAAAAGCATTGTGCTCTTCAAATTAGCAAAGAGTGGCAGTTCAGAAAAACTAACCTTTTTCTTTTTTGCATGACCTTTTGTTGACAGAACTACTTCTTCAGATGCACTGAATGAAGTGGGTTGCAGTTCCCAAAAGGATAGGTAAAAGAAAATGTGTTAGTTTAAGGCAGTAGGAAAAGAGGATGACCAAATGTGAGATGACTCCCTAAAGGAACCCACAGATTTGGGTTTATAAGAGCTGAGCAGGGCAGTTGAGGGCAGGACACTCTGGAGACTGCTCATCCATAGAGTTGCCATGAGTTGAAGATGACTTGACAGCACATAACAATAACAGCAAATGTATTTCTAAAGTGCCACAAGATTCTTTATTGGTTCTGTTGCAACCAACTAATAGGCCTACTCTATTTTGTTTTATATCAGTACTTCCCAAACAGATGGGAGATCATACAGGTTTTTTAGTGCTTTTCAGATGGAAAAAGACTACCGTGAACCAGTAAATCTGCTTGTGGCCAGAAACCTCACATGAAACAATTACAGTCCAGTCAGCCAGGCCATGTATCAAAGAGAAAGTGCATAAAACTGACTTACCTGGGCAATCCCTGCAATAAAAGCATTAAAGCATGTCGAAACACGCATTTTCTGAGGTGCAATCATGAAGCATCCTTCCTGTTGGTCATAACCCAGCAAGACGTATAAGTGCCGCTTCACAGTATTGAAAGCTTTGGCACTGCTGATGTCCGACTCAGCACTGCTCTCATCCTTTGCCATAAATTTCATCAACACAGTAATGAGTTGGTGGACAGTCTGATGATCAATGCCAGCATCTTCTGGAAGAAGGTCCTTTATTGTGTTATCATTCTCTGGAGATGGCTGCCCTGCTAGAGAAGAAAAGAACCATTTATAAGTCCTAGATGACTAGCGTGACCATTGAGAGTCAAGGTCTCTGAAAGCAAGCTCAACGTATCAATAGAGATGCTCATAAAATCATGACGTTGGGAAGAATTTCAAAGGTCATTGTGGCGTCCACCCTCATGCCCCTTTTGCTTGCCCTTCAAGCTTCTGAGCACACAAAGGCAAACACTCTCTTATTTTACACTTGCTGCCACCAGATGAACTCTAAATCACCATTACTTCAGAAGTTCAGGTCCACACTTCAAGTTCTTTTAAATAAAACTTTGGTTTATTGATTACATAGATTGTTTCATGAATATCTTCAGTAGTTAATCATTCCTCAAAATTTCCCCAAACTACACACTCTATTACACTGTCTGGCTTTTCTCTCCTGCCTGACTCTTATATTTCTCTTACTGACTCTATCTGACCTAATCTGACTTCTGACTCCGCCTCTTATAGCATCTCTCTTGGCTCTGCCTCTCAGCAATATGAATATTCATTAACCATTACATAATACAACAAGAACCATAGATCTAATAAATGGAGAATGCTACAGTCATATAATCCAGTGGTATACAGCCTTTCACATCTTATGTCCCATTAACTGCTCTGTCAAATAACCCAATGCACACTGTGATGGATTCACAGGTCACCATAAGTTGGAAACTAACTGAGAGCCACAACAACAACCATAAAAAGTTAAACAGAATAATAATCAGCGGACTCAAGCTCTAGCTGCACACTTTTCTTTCTATCTCCATATCATGGTTTGGGGAAGTTACTTTTGCTCTATAACTCTCAGAATGTTCCCAGTCAGCATGGTGTAGCCTTCTTGCCCATTTGGCTCTACATAGGGGACACCCCAAAGAATTATACAGTACTTCCCATGAAGACCTAGGCCTCACATGAAGCACTGGGCCATTTCCTTTTATACAGGAAGTAAGCCTGAAACAACCTGAAACATAGGACCTGTTCCAGGTGAGTGAAATATAGGTGTCTGTAGAGACGAGTTCCCAAAATTCTCTCTAGGGAATGGCACCCCCTTAGCTCTAATATCCACCTCTTATTTTCTCTGTTCCAGCTAAACTGTTCCTTCAGCCTGTCCTCACAGCACTGAATCCACACCCATCATCCCATCTTTGTTACTGTCCTCTCAGCAGCTTCCAGTTCATCTCACTGCTTACAGTTCTGTTAGGCTCTATATCCCAATAGTGTTATATAGAGATTAACATACACACACAGGGGTGCTGTTAAGGTTAGCTACTAGCATGGCATATCTCCACCTATCTCTCACTATGTGGCTTAGTTTTTCTCTATTAAGGCCTAAGCACTTTCTGATGTTCCTCATCTAAGAAATCTGTCCGCTATCTCTTCCACGTTCACCTTCAATCTTGCCTTGAATGATGTACTGTAGTGTGCTGATATTTGTCATTTTTTTTACGAATTATGTTAAAACCTGGAATTCAACTAATGTTTGTGTAAAGTGGTGCAACTTGTTGTGGCTAACAGTGCCTAATCTAATACCCGGCTGCATCTCATTTGTATAACTGGGCATGTGACCAGGCATGCAACTGAGAAATGCCCAATATTTTGTGAATGAGCTGCAGCAAGTTAAGAAAACCTTATGCTAACCCAGGCAGGATTCCAGCCAATGTGATATTCTTGATCAAAATGAACACATTGGCTTAGTTCCTAAAATCATTTGATTATCTTTTCAGAAAGAATGTTTCCCTTTATTTTCCTCTGTTCTTGATAATACCCATTTCCTTCATAAAAAAAGTTTCTAGAAAGATGGGATGGGGGCTCTTGAAAAATGCTGAGGCATAGAGGAGCTGCTAAGAAAGAAACTGAAAACTTACCTTGCATAAACGTCTTTAAGGTAATGGATCCTGGGATCTAACTCAATTTGGACCAATCTCACTCCCTCCCTCCCAGCACATACCACTTAATTCAAGACTCTCTCCTCTCCCAACCCTTTAGACTGACTTTTCAGAAGCTTCAGATGGCTGCAGGGGGAAGGAGGAGAAGGAGCCTTTCCTTTGATTAACTTCCATAAATTAATCATATCTTAGATTATGACTTAGCATCCAAGACATTATACACAATGCTTTGTAACAGTCCACAGAGTCCCCTCTTTGTCGGAAATACACTTTTTTTTCTCCAGTGAAACCAAATCTGCCTCTTACTTTCAAGAAAAGGGATTAGAGCTGACAAGGGCAGCATGAAAGCCTGAATGTCAGCAACGATTATAACGCTACTATGTTAAGGGTAAACATTAATTAAACTATTTGCTACATAATTAAAAAGAAGCCTTCAGGGGTGCTTTCTGATTATCTCAAAAGAGTAGCAGGACCATGAATTTTAGTTACTGCTAAGGACTGATCTGATATACACAGTGATCGTTCTGACAGGTCTTTGATCCAAAATCCATTGCCTAATAATAAGAATGATAGCATGGAAAAGTTGCTTATCCTCACATCTCTGTTGAAGTCTGTTCTCTGTGTGTGAGTTCTTCAGAAATTTGGCAGGCTATTTGTAACCTTTCCTAGTGGTCTCTAAACTGCATTCCTCTTGGAGCAGCAGTGAAGAATGGCAATTTTGGTGCTAGAGATTATTTATTGATTTTCTGTTTATACTCATATACTACTATTCTTCCAATGAGCTCAGCACCGTCTCCTCCTCCCTGCCATTTTATCCTTGCAACAACTTTGTGAGGAGAGTCAGGATAAAAGGAAAGGATTAGCCCAAGTGAGTTTCATGACTCAGAGTTGAGTGACAACCAAGGTCAGGATAAAAGGAAAGGATTAGCCCAAGGTCATCCCTTGAGTTTCATGACTCGGAGTTGAGTGACAACCAACATCTCCTAAACCAGTGCTCTAAACCAGGGATGGACAAATTCAGCACATAGGGTCCATGTTTGGTTGGATCCTAGCACCTTATCACAAGATTCTCTCTCTCTCTGGCTCAATACCCTTGTGCCCTCTGTGGAAGTGGTGGGCAATAGTGTCCTCTGTAAAGTGGAGATGTGAAACCAAGGGAAATTCACCCTGGATGCCAAAGAATCCTTATATTGCCCTGCCCTGGTGTCGCCAATATCACATCCCAACACATTTGGGAAATCAAAACAGAGAAGGATAAGGAGAAAGTTAAGAAAAAGTCAGTCTACGATGTGCTACTGAATGTGTTAAAGCAACATAATCACCACCCTCACTGCAAAATTATTTCCATAATGTGGTAGTCTAGGAGCTGTCTGTCTGTCACTAATGAGAAATGATATAAACATATCTAAATCACTTGTACCTTACTGCTTGGAATGTGTTTTGGTATTGCTTATGTTTTGAAGTATGGTATTTGTCTGGTCCTTTTTAGTATTTATATACTCACTGTTAGCTTTAAATACTGTCTTTTAATGATGTAAGCCACCTTGGGCCCTTTTTAAGGAGAAAGGTGGGATAAAAGTATTTTAAACCAATCAATCAATCAGATTCTGCCCCATCACTGGCGCTAGTCTTGGAACTTCACAACTGAAAGAGGAACTATGGATAACTGAGTCCCAGGAGAAAGGTGGGATAAAAGTATTTTAAACCAATCAATCAATCAGATTCTGCCCCATCACTGGCACTAGTCTTGGAACTTCACAGCTGAAAGAGGAACTATGGATAATTGAGTCCAGCCCTTGTCAAGGAGGCAGAGTGGGGAATCGAACTTCCAACCTCTTGGTCTGCAGCCAGAGACCATACACCACTATCTGGGTCCCATCCTGCCAGTAAGTCTCACCTTCTGAACTGGGGGAATCTCCCAGTTATCTTACATCACTAAATTTGCAGGTAATCTCCATGCTACATATTCATGTTTGGGGAGACCAAGCCAAATCTTCTTCTCATACTTGGCTATCTGAATATTAGCTGACGCATCTCCCTCAGAACTGAAGTCAGCTCTGTACCTGTATGCCAAGGTAGCATTTACCTTGTGTTTGTTCTGGTGTCCCACCCAGAGCTGGAGCTGACTGTTCATGTCTTGTCAGCCTTGCTGCTAGAAGGAAGGAAGGAAGGAAGGAAGGAAGGAAGGAAGGAAGGAAGAGTCTCATTAGTATTGCAGTGAAGACAGCCTATGATATTCTTAGTAGTTGTAGCTTAGCTGCAGTTTATGCTTTGAATGCAGGAAGTGCCACTTTCTATCCTTGGAAACTCTCTAGGAAAAGATGTGGAAAAAAATGCATGCTTGAATCCCTAGAGCAACCCCCCCCCCAAAAAAGAGGGGGAGTATGGAACTGAACTAATGCAACTAAAAAAGAAAGTGTACAATCAATAATACAGCCTATAGTAACATATACTATATATGTCAAACTCTAATAACAAGTGAAAAAGCTAACAGAGCTATATGTATGGAACTGAACTAATGCAACTAAAAAAAGAAACTCTGTACAATAAATAATAAAGCCTATAGTAACATATACTGTATATGTCAAACTCTAATAGCAAGTGAAAAAGCTAACAGAGCTATAAATTTTTAACTCTCAACATGCAATGCACATAAACCATATATATGCACAAGATATAGTGTCAATCAATATCACCAGTCCGCTATATATGTGTGTGTAACATATCAATGTAACAATATCACAATTCAAATATTCAATTCTTCCGTCAGTGGGGAGGTCCAGGTGAAAAATTCCATAATACGTATGTAAGATCAGTAATGTCCATGAGTAACTTCTGATATGCTAAAGACTCGACAATCTTACATATTATGCAGTTTTTCACCTGGAAATCCTTGTTGATAGAAGACACATTCAAACCCCTAGAGGGCTAATGCCAGTTAACCTTTCCTATCTTGGTGTTTTTCAGATTTGTTGAACCTTTCCTAGATCAGTGCCTTGGAAACGTGTGTGGTGCTGAACCTTTCCTAGATCAGTGCCTTGGAAAGGTCTGTGGTACATTTCAAATTTCAAATGAACTAAACTATGCATGCATTTTTTAAATGTGCAGGGCTAAAAGGTGTATAATTTTTTAAAAAATGGACAAATGCATTGTGTCAAGATGCTTACATCAGGGAAACACAGACATACATCTGCATATTACAGAAAATGCATATAGAAAATAAGTGTGGATTTCCCCACATGATGAAAAAAAATCTGCAGGTGACAGATACTGAAGATATGGATAAAATCCCACTACCACTTGTAAGTCAGTTTGTGAGCCTTGGCCAAGTCATGGAAGCAGAGCTAGTCCAGGACTGATCAGCAAAATGCTCCTGCAGAAGCTTATAAATAGGACAAGAAAGTAACAACAGTTTACTCCTGTTTGTAACTGTCAACTGGAAGTCCTACAGCACCCCTGTTTTTCAAAGGGAGTATCTACCAGCACATGCAACGCTGGATTATTGTTATTAACATATTAGTTGAATTTATTCTGAAGCCAAAGAACACTAAACAGTTCTATACATGGCCTACATCCAGAGGTGCACTGGTGTAAATGGACAGAACTGTCTTCTCTTCCCTTCCCCCTGCAGCCCTTAGCATTGCCTCAAAACTGATTCTGGGATGCTTCCCAAGCAGGATTTGAGGGGGCATAGAAGGCTTCAGAGAAGAAGGGAGATTGCCTTCCTAGAGATACAGTGGGGTCTCTACTTAAGAACTTAATCCGTATTGGAAGGTGGTTCTTAAGTTGAAAAGTTCTTACGTTGAATCTGCATTTCCCATAGGAATCCATTGAAAACCATTTAATCCGTATCTGCTTTTTTCCCGCCATAGAAACTACAGCAGGATTTGAGGGGGCATAGAAGGCTTCAGAGAAGAAGGGAGATTGCCTTCCTAGAGATACTGCTGAGAGAAGCAACTGAACCAGGGAACACTATTCTCTAAATTATAACCATTTTATGTGGTTCAGTCAAGTATTTATTTACTATATGAACTTCCTTGGTAATCATGAAAGAGAACAAAAACAGCAATCTCAGATCTGCAAATTCTACTAATGCAGCCAAAACACCAGCATTGTCACTCTAGAGCAGCGGTTCCCAACGATGGGTCCCCAAATGTTCTTGGACTAAAACTCCCAGAAGCCTTCACCACCAGATGTGCTAGTTGGAAACCACTACTCTAGAGCATGGGTCTTCAAACTTTTCAGAGTGAAGGCCACAACATATATGTTCCAGATTTTCGAGGGCCAAAGGAAGAAGTGTGTGTGCTCGTAGGCACGCGCACGCACATGCACTTCCACCTGCATGCGCATGCATGCACGCAAGGCCAGATAAAAAAGCAAGGAAGCCTGGATGTGGCCTGTGGTCTATAGTTTGGAGACCTCTGCTTTAGAGGAATCTATAGGGGGCTTGGAAGAATTCCATGCTTTCCAGAAGCTACGAGAAAAAGTACTAACTTTCCAGGAGTTAGTAGTTACTTTCCAGAAGGCATGCCGGTATTCACAGAATCTGAGCACTGGCTTACTAGGGTGGGCAAAGAAAATGGAATGGAGTCTCCTGAAAGAGGACCAACATTTGAGCCAGCCACTCGTCAACAAGAGTTGTTCCACAATACAACCTTTTTTCCCCAGGTTCCACTTTTAAAATATCAACAATAAACCAAAATATATGCTACAACATATGTATTTAGTTCACTGTCCCACAAGTTTTCAGAAATCTTTTGGGAACATACTGTAGAGGGTTGATCTGTAAACAGAACAAGCATTTAGAACTTTAATTCCTCTTTTGCTGTTGTTTGTCAGATTCTCAACCTGGAAGGAATGTTGCAGCAAAGTCAAAAGGAAGGAAAACTGAAAATAAATACTCAACGGATTTTGGTGGTCAGGGTTTCTGGGAGAGAAAGTGCCCTCTTGGATTCCACTGGGCCTTTGACGCTGTCCCTCAATGAGCGCACACTCTTCTGCCGGTTCCGAGCAAAGCGGGCCCTCTTGATCTTCCACATTGCCGTATCGCTTAAGTTGGCAACGTTCGTCCGGACAGCTGTGATTGCTTTTCAAACAAGATTAAAGACATCAGTTTTTCTCGAAGGCTTTCCGATCTGATGGTTGTTGTAGGTTTTTTGGGGGCTGTTTGCCCATGTTCCGAAGGTTTTTCTTCCTAATGTTTCGCCAATCTCTGTGGCCAGCATCTTCAGAGGACAGGAGTTACAACTCTTAGACAGGCAGAGTTCTAATTCCTGTCCTCTGAAGATGCCAGCCACAGAGACTGGTGAAACATGAGGAAGAAAAACCTTCGGAACATGGGCAAACAGCCCGAAAAACCTACAACAACCATCAGATCAGTTTTTATCATATGGCTGTGTTTCAGACTGTGTGTATGTCACAAGCAAGTGAAAGCCACACCTACTTATGCAACACACTGTGATACTTTTACAACCAGATCCTCTCATGCACATTTAATTACACAATCTTTTTTCAAATGATCTGTTATATTGTTTCAACAGATAAACATTAACAATAACAATAATGAGCGTGCTTCATCCATCAGCATGACAAACAATTTAAGCTGCTAGAGCAGCCCTATTCAGAAGCTGTGAACCTGATTTCATCATCCTCAATCTAGGAATAAGCCACAGATGTTCTCTCCCCATCCCTCTTGTCTTGTGTATCAGATCTACTCAGTTTTCTTACATCAGTTCCCCATGAGATCCTGGTTTTATATCCAGGCTTGAAGTCAGTCCTTAAACCACAATTTCCTGTTTTAGGCTACTTGACAAACTATACTTTTTACAGTGCTTGGAATTAACAGAGTAAAAATGACAATGCTACTTGTGATGTATTGCTTTTTTGTGGGTGATTCCAGTTGGTGCAGAGTCTCCCAGTAATAACTTCATGGGCTCAAGGTTGTAAGGATAATCAGTAGCAGCCTTTATTTCCCCAGACGAACACACAGGAACAGAAATGGATGCTTTAACTCCCTCCACGAACTTCTTGGGAATTAGGTTTCCTGCACTAATTCTCCAGGGAATTCAAAAGGGGCCCCTGTTAATGGCAAAAGTGGCCTTGAGAGCCCTGAAAGTCACAGAAAGCACAACTAGTAAAACAGGAAGGGAAGATGAATCCTAGCCCTAGTCTGAGTCCTTTCACTGATGATCAGTAGAGGTGGGTAGATGGCACTGGGGTCCATTCCTTTGTTCCTGTAGGAGCTCCTCTTGCACCTTCGCTGCCAGCACCACAACTGAATTAGAGTAGATGCTTCTGCTCCTATTGGTTGGCACAACACCAAGGTCATGAAGGTGGCACAAAGGGCTCCAGCACTTCTGCTACAGGGGCCACTTATCTGTGGCCCCTTCCTTTGCCCAACTGGAAGGACTCAGGAACCTCTGCTTGGGGTTTCTCCTCCCACTTGCTTTCCACCTCTCCCAAGGATCAGAAATGGGGGTTCTGAGCCTCAGTCAATGGCCTTCCCCACCAGGTTTCTTCCAAGGTCACCACATCTCCCTCTGATCTTCTTGAGGAAGCCCTCAAGTCCACCTATTTCTCCTCCTTTATTCTGGCCCCTGTAGCCTTCTCCTCCCCCTGCAGTGCCTCTCATCAGCTGGTTTCTTCATGGACAGCTGTCATCTTTCTCCTCTACCAGCCAGGGGCTCAGAAGCCAAGGTCTCTCCCAGGCTATCCTGGGGCAGCAGGGCAAGGAGAGACAGATCACCCAGGGTGCCAGAGGTAGCTCCTTCCCAGGGGGTAACAGAGGTACTGCAACAGTGTTTTTGCAGAATGGCATGATTCACAACATTTTGTGAATGCGGGAAAAAAAATAGTTTTGTGACTAACAACATTTTCTCATGCAGCCTAACATGCTGCTTTGGGAGAGGTGCCAGAATGGAGAATTTTTTAAAATTTTTATGGGGGGATTTTTGGAAGTAAAAAGTAACATACCATGTTTCCCTGAAAATAAGACAGGGTCTTATACTAATTTTTGCTCTAAAAACATATTAGGGCTTATTTTCAGGGGGTGTTTTATTTTTTTCATGTACAACAATCTACATTTATTCAAATACAGTCATGTCATCTTCTGGTTGCTGCACAATGGTGGAGGGCGGGGTTTCACTTAACTGGGGCTTCTTTTTGGGGTAAGGCTTATATTACGAGCATCCTGAAAAATCATACTAGGGCTTATTTTCAGGTTAGGTCTTATTTTCGGAGAAACAGGGTATTAGCTACATGATAGTCTGTTTAAAACAAACAATAGTGTTTTTCTTAAAGAGCATTGAATTCCTTTGTTTAACCAATATTTCAAGCTCTTGCTTTAAGATGCTAAGAGAGCTAAACTGAAGTTATAGAGTGATATGGAGGAGATCACGAAGGTTCATGTGGATACATTGGGGCTAAATCCAGTTTTAGTCTAATGAGAATAGAGCCACTGAAGCCAATGGGACTTAATTTAGTGTTGACTAACAAGTCTCAATGATTTCAATGGGTTCAGGTGGGTGGTATTGGATTTAGCTCATGGTTTATTTCCTCAGCCTGGGCTAATTGAAATCATAGCTTATTAGGTCATGGAATTTACAACTGAAACTGACCAGCTTCTCCATTCAACTGATTTTTATTTTGTGTGTGTGTTTTAATAGTATAAGGAGTGACAAACATCTGGTCCCCTGGATATTACCCCATCATTCTTAACCACTGGCAATGTAGATTGGAGTTGTGTCCAATAATATATGAAAGATGAGACATTCCTTATTTCTGGAGTATGTTCTTTGAGGCAATCAATGTAATCTTACCTATGTAGCTCCAACAAGAATTAAGCTAACATACTGACACCACCAGCTAGTTGAATGGCAATGACTGGAGTTACTCCCCTCCAACGAAGCACAAATGTTCTCTTCTCAAACATAGAGTTTTGTACCTTGATTTAAAACATGTGTTCATAACATGCAGTGCATGGGCAATGTGTCCCCCCCCATCCAGTTGTGTGGACCCTCTGGATTCTGACAGGATCTAACCCTGGTTTGGAACATTTAACATAAGCAATATCCACATGTGGAAACACAACGTGCTACAGAACAATGCTTACTAGTTGGGAAAGGGAATTCCTTGTTGCAGTCCAGGTGAAGCTGTGCTTCAAGAGACAGAGTCTCAAATCGATTCACAAAGAATTCCCAGCTCAAAGCTGGAATGTCTTGCTTGAGAAAATGAAGCAGCAAGAGCTTGCTAAGGATTGTAGGTCTGTCCTTGACAACTGTATCAAACTGGAAATCAAGGCAAAGGCATAAACCCTAGGATTGAAGAGAACAAAAAGTGAAGCTCATAGAAAAGTAAAGTGGGAAGTCAAAGTAAGCAACATGACAATGTAAAGAGGACGATGTTGGAATGGACTTAATATCTATCTACAGGTTCGGATGGATTCCAAAAGATCTCCTGTATGGAGAATTAGTGCAGGCAAAGTGCCCCAGAGGGAAACCACAGCTGTGATACAAGGATATCTGCAAGCAAGATCTGAAGGCCTTAGGAATGGACCTCAACAGATGGGAAACCTTGATATCTGACTGTTCAGCCTGGAGGCAGGTGGTGCAGCATGGCCTTTCCCATTTTGAAGAGACCTGCGTCCAGCAGACTGAGGCAAAGAGGCAGTTCCGAAACCAGCAAAATCAGGGAGTTGGACAGGGGACAGATTGTATTTGTCTTCAGTGTCGAAGGAATTGTCACTCTCAAATTGGCCTTCTCAGCCACACTAGAGGCTGTTCCAGGACCTCTATTCAGAGCACATTGCCATAGTCTCTCGAGACTGAAGGATGCCTACTAGGTATTCATTAACTTCTCACAAAGACTGAACAGAAGACTTTGTGAAGCCTTAGTTTCTTGAGACTGAAGGATGCCTACTAGGCCTTCATTAACTTATCTCAAAGGCTGAACAGAAGACTTTGTGAAACCCACAAGGATGACATGATTATGACAACATCTTCCTAATCATCTTCCTTAGTAACTAATATTGAGAGATACTGTACAGTCTCTCCGATACCAGAGACAATATACAGACTTCATGATTATTAGCTGCTAATAGTTGATATCTTTCATGAGTCTGTGTAAGCTTCATCTAAATAAATCACCACACACTAGCAAATTCCAGAATACTTTGATGTGCTATGTAGTTAAACCAGTAGTTTTGCCTGCTATGAATATCTCACTATTTAAATCTACTGAATGACCCCAGCTTCTAAAATTATGGATAAAAAATGCTTCATATTACTCTCTTGATACACACCCTGTCATATCCCTCTTTGACTTTCTTCTAATTTGAAAAGCCCATAAACTGAAACCATTCATTTTAGCAAAAATATTTCTAGACCTTCAATCAGTTTACTTATGCATACTTTTATTACTGGCTAATAAAGAGGATTATCTTTCTTACTAGCACCATGGGTTATGAAAAGTAAACCCCATCTTCACCATCTCCAGATCCACTGAGAAAGCCATCTCATTGCTCATAATAGTTATAGGAACCTACCCACATTTCTTTCTGAATCATTTACGCACCTGCAAAGCTGGCCTCTTTATGGTATCCAATAAGAGCCCTGCTCTTGTGGCAACAGCTGGATTCACATCCTCCACGGCTGTCAGAAAGCAGCAAAAGGCATGTGCCAAGGAGTATTTCAGCAAGTGGTTTTTGGTCACAGAATGAATGTCCAGGAACCTGCACAGCACAGCTACTTTCTCAACTGCAGATGGTGACAAAATCCCAAAAGAAAGGGAAAATGTTCAAATTAAGACGCTGGCACGTTATCTTGCTTTGTAAAAGGTAATAGAAGTAGCCAATTCAAGAAGATCTATATTTTTATTGTCCCATCTTTTGAAGAAAGGTAAAATGGACTAAAGTTTGATATGACTAGATTTCCATTGAGGCAACAGACCTCTTCTTTGCTATCTTATTTTGTTCATCTCCATCCTTAGGACTAGAAAGTACCTCAGCTATTCAAAGCAGATGTGGAAGGCACATAGGATGCTGAAGTTAGGTGGAAGAATCCATTCTACCAGTGGTGCCCCTATCTGCTGGCATATGCTTACTGCTGGATACTATGCTGAGGTAAGATTTTTGATGCTATAACAAGCCTATGCTCATTTTCCCAGGCACTTCCATTTTATAGCTGTCCTGATGTCAGTTCGTATATAGTAGCTTGTTCTGGCAACGTCATATTTTCTTTTAATGCTGTTAATATTTATGAACTGTGGATAAGTGAATCAGCAGATACTGATCCCATAAGAGGGTCCTACTGTATCAGAGAAAAAAGTGACACAGGCAGCAACCTGGAACTGAAAAGGTAAAATCCTGAATTTCTGGAACCAATTTACACAGCAAAAAAAACAGCTAGGTTTTAAGAAAGACAAATTTTCCAGCACTTGCTTAATATTTTCTAATCATGTAAATCATATGAACGGCAGGCCACTATCTTAGGGAGCCTGGGTACTTTGCTCTATCCTCCAACATCTTGCTGCCTCCATCCATGATCAGCAGTCTGAGAGAAGTGCCCCACTGTCTACCAGCAAAGCCCACCCCACCTCCTCCAGGATACACTGCTTCCAAGTCTACTGGAGGGGGAAGGGCGCTGAACTGTGGGTCAGCTGTTTGGCTAGGAAATGAACCATACTGAACTGCCAGTTCATGCCCTTCTCTGTTAGGAGCCATTCCCTCTCAATAGAAGCCCTTAAAAGACATGTATGTAGCAAATATGCTACACTGCCATACCTGCTTCAAATCTGACCTTCCAGTCTTTGCTATTGAAGTTGCTATTGATGATTGTCCAGAAAATATCAGCTCCATGTGGAAGCGACAGAGCATGAAGAAGAAGGGGTACTGCCAGTGAAGAAAGCTGGGAGAACTCAGACTTCACAACTCTCCATAAACTGAGAGGTGGGTAAAGGGGATGCACAAGGAGGGAAAGAACAAATTAAATCAATTTACATGAACCAGGTTTATCAGATTTCACAAATGGCTTTTCAAATGAGGCATATTGTTTACCACATTGATTCACCACAGGGATTCCTCACTCTGGTTTCACAATGGGCAGAATAAGCAGGTGGGAAGGTTTCTGGGAAGGTCCTTGTGAGAAGAGAGGAACCTCATTTAGGCTCTCTGTGGGCCAGATTCTGCCAACTGCAAGCCAAATTAGACACTCTTCTGCTTCACTGGGAATGTAACAAAATTGGATAATTCAGGATATTCTGCCTCTTCTCTAATAATAATTCATGCCATCAAGTTAATTTTGACTTATGGTGAGCCTTTCCAGGATTTTCAAGGTACACATTATTCACACATGGTTTATCTTGCCCTTCTTTGGGGACATCCAGGGACTGTGCACCTTCTCCTTTCCTCTCCAAATCTGAAGTAGAAGAAACCATAAAACTAGGTGCCCTACACCATCACCAATGCCTCTCTAGTTTGCAGGCAAGGGTTCCAGGCTTAAAGAGCACAGTGTTTTTCCAGAACTGTGTTCCGTGGATCAAATGATACTGTCTTCCTTGGAACAGGCGGGTTGTAAGTCCAGGTCTTGAGGGCACCCTCTGCAAAACAACTCCTACAGTAGCCCCAGAAGGCTAATGTAGCAATAGCAGTATCCAGGGATGGACTGCCTGGTCCTTCAATGATCCTGACCTATTGTTACTATGGGAAGTTTAAATGGTAACTCTTAGGGGCCAGCAACGTAATGCAGAAGCTCACAGAAAAAGGCAACTGTGCTGGGGTAGCTCCTTCTGATCTTAAGGTGACCATTCTTGTAACTCAGCAACACAATAACAGTAACTCAAAGTAAATATACAGTGGTGCCTCGCATTACGACGTTAATTCGTTCCAGCAAAATCGCTGTAGAACGAAAATGTCGTAAAGCAAAATTTAAAAGCCCATAGAAACGCATTGAAACCCGTTTATTGTGTTCTGATGGGCTGGAAACTTACCGTCCAGCGAAGATCCTCCATAGGGTGGCCATTTCCGCTGCCTGTGCAGCAAGGAATCCGTCCCAGAAAACAGCAGGGAGGATTTTGTTTAACCGATGGCCATTTTGAAACTGCTGATCAGCTGTCCGAAAATCGTTTTGCGAAGAATTGGTTCCCGAAGCAGGGAACTGATCATCGCAAAGCGAAATTCCGCCATAGCAAACATTGTAAAGCGATTGCAAAAGCGATCACAAAAAGTTTGTCATAATGAGGTTCCGTCGTCAAACGGAGCAATCGTAAAGCAAGGCACCACTGTATATTACACTGTTATAGCAGTCTGATAACATTTTACCTGTCATGGCTCCATCCTACCCTGTTTAGCAAGGTATATAGAATTCTCAGCTAGGAAAGTATACAGGAAAATTCTAAGCCCCCCACCATACTATGATCCTAGATTCTGACAAAAAGAGATATCAAACCACTGTAACTGTGTTGTGTTGATATGCAAACAGTAACAACAATTGCATTCTCGATGGCTTTCATGGCTGGGATCTGATGGTTTTTGTAGTTTTTTCAGGCTATTTCGCCATGTTCTAAAGGTTTTTCTTCCTAATGTTTGAAGATGCCAGCCACAGAGACTAGCGAAATGTTAGGAAGAAAAACCTCCAGAACACGGCCAAACAGCCTGAAAAAACTACAACAACCATAGTAACAACTAATACTTCAGAAATACTTAATACATTTGATGAAATTGACTTAGTCCCCAAAAATTTGTTCCATAATCAATGTACTGTATTAGTCTTCAACAGGACTAAACCCAATATATTTTGCTGGCTGAGGTAAGGAACAAAATGGCGTGCCTCTTCTCATCCCTTGTACAAAAGCCAAATGGATTTGAGACAAATCTTTCTTCAGCATCTTCTAACATACCTGAAGGGATCAGGATAGTTTAGAAAGAAGGGACAGGGCAGACAAGTTAGCACACAGCTTTCTTTTCCAATCTCTTGCTGCCATCTCTGAACAGCTGCTGCCTGAGGTGACTACTTCACTCCACCCAGTGGGAGAACTGGCATTGGTCTTTAAGGTGTTAGTAGGCTCTGCTATTTTTAGAATATTTCCATTGATCTGAATAATATTTCTGTGGTATGTTAATTACTAGCAATATCTATATGCCTGTACATCATAAGCATGCACTAACTTTTCAAAAGATGAAACTTTTCTCTTAAAAATGCATACCTGGCAATTAGCATGTGATCCTGAATGTGAGCTAAAAATTGAGGATGATCTTTTCTTGCAATGTATAAACATTCCCCGTGAAGACAGAGAATCTTCAAGCAGTTCAGCATATTAAACAGAATATCTGGCTCTTCAAATCGTGCCATTTCCTGTGCCAAATTTACAAAGAAGTAAACAAAATATCATGCAATTAATCTTTCACTCCAAGCTGAAGTAATCAGCTAACAACACTTCACAGTACACTGTTTAAATATACTGAAAGTAACAGAAATAGCAAGAGAGAAACTGAAGGGAATTTAAGTTTCACAGATGTTATTCTTTTTGCCTCTCCCTCCCTTTTATTGCTCCATTGAAAAAGCAACAAAAAAGGGGATCTAAATACGCCCCACACTTGGTCAGTCCCTAAAAACATAATTCAGAAGCAGTACCTTATAAAGGATCTGCTGAACAACATAGTCAAGGACATAAAAATCATTTTTTTAAAAAAGGTAAACTTTACCTGCAATATTGTATAGATGAGTTTCAGTGTCACCGGGAGTTGCTGGTAGCAGAATTTTCTCTCAGTGTCATTTTTTATGGCAGCTAGAACGTGACAGTTAAAAAAATATCAGAAGCGTTTTCATTAACTAGATTGATACAGTACCGTAGAGGTGGGTCGAGACTCCCCCATCACCACCCCAAATCATGTCGCGCTCCTGAAACTCCAAATCCAATTCTCAAAAATTCCAAAAAAGGAGGCTCTTTTTCTTCCTCTGGTGAATTTAAAGCTCAGGTAGTTTTTCTCAAAATTGAAATTAACTATAGGCTTAAAACACATGAGGGGAGTGGAATGAATCAGCATTGCCCCTCACACAACTCAGAGGATAAGTGGGGCCTTTTTAGTTTTGAACATCAGGAAGAACAACCTTCAGAACATGGCCAAAGAGCCCGAAAAACCCACAACAACCATCAGATCTCGGCCGTGAAAGCCTTCGAGAATACATATATATAAATTTGTTTTACAGCAATTAATATTTTCATTGTTGAATGCAAGGATCTCAGCAGTCATTATTTAGAAGATACTGGACATTTTAAGCTATCTTTTTTATATAAAGGTAAACTATTTGTTCATTCTGTCTAGGGGAAATAGGATGTCATTTATTTTTATCAACCAGCCATTGCTGCAAAGACATTATATCAAAGGCTGGATGGTGAATTATGCTTTGAAAGGTCAAACAATTTTTCTTTGACATAGTGGGAAGGCTTCTATAGTGGCTGAGAGAGAGAATTCTTGTGATCAAGGAAATACAGTAGACAAGCACTAGTGTAACCTCTACTAATGATTTCACTTAACCTAACACATCGGGAAATCCCCAGGAAGGGGGTTTGCTCATAATATTCATTCTAGAAATACAGAGAACTGGTAGGGAATGGAGCTTTTCCTGGGAGAAAGAGTTAGGCCCTCGTTGCCCTGGTTTAGGTAACAGAAGATCAACAACTGTGTGGGAGGGATCAATTACTTGCAGTGGCATTGTGTGCCTATTTCTGTATTTTATTTTAGGAATTCAAAGTTTTATATTTGGAACAATCTGTCTTTGTGCCAAGGATCATTTTACAAAGGAAGATTCCACAGAACAAGAGATTTATTTCCTGACATTTTGGATTAATAACACCTTGTAGGACTTGGCTGCAACCATTTTTCTGCTCTGGCAACTTCTTGGTGTATAGAGCTCAGGCAGCAAATCAGTAGTATTCAGTTTAACTTATGTCTGTGTTATTGTTTCATGCAGCAGGACTGGATGAATCCCAAGCCAGAATTAAGATTGCCGGAAGAAATATCAACAACGTCAGATGAGCAGATGATACCACTCTGATGGCAGAAAGTGAGGAGGAATTAAAGAACCTCTTAATGAGGGTGAAAGAGGAGAGTGCAAAAAATGGTCTGAAGCTCAACATCAAAAAAAAAAACTAAGGTCATGGCCACTGGTCCCATCACCTCCTGGCAAATAGAAGGGGAAGATATGGAGGCAGTGACAGATTTTACTTTCCTGGGCTCCATGATCACAGCAGATGGTGACAGCAGCCATGAAATTAAAAGATGCCTCCTTCTTGGAAGGAAAGCGATGACAAACCTAGACAACATCTTAAAAAGCAGAGACATCATCTTGCCAACAAAGGTCCGCATAGTCAAAGCTATGGTTTTTC